TTTCCTGCTTAATTGGCAGCATCCGCTGCATTTACAGTATTTTTTTCATTTCTCAGCTGATCATTTCTCCCTTTAAAAATTTGGCAGGTTTGCAGGTTTTGTTCTGGGATCTCCTCACATCTCACCTGCAGAAACAAAGGCACACGATGAAGAATATGGCATTGGGAGCTTCTTCCTGGAAGAGCAGCTCTTTGAGACAAGGGCAGAATCTGAGCAAGATGATCCAGCCAGTTCCATCCATGAAAGAGATGAGGAGGATGAAGATGAAAGGCATGAACAAACTTCATTTCCATATGCTACTGAATTGCTCTGAGCTTTGGGAAATAACCAAAAAAAGGAGAGAGGGAAAAACGCATTCATCCTAGAAAGACTGAGAGCTCACGCTTGGGGATTTCTTGTGGTTGCTGGTGGACAAACAAGTTTTTTTGAAAAACATCACTGATGTTGCCCGATTAGAGCAACAGGTGGAAACCATAGGGGCTGTTCAAGTGAAGAGGATTCTCATGCTATTGGTACTTTTAACCGAGGAAGTAAACATTGCTTATGTCCAAAGCAAGTACTGGCAGCAGCCTGTCCCACCAGAATGCCTATTTTTTTTCAGGGATACTACCTCTAGAGAACAGAGAATCTGGTTTGGCCCTTTTCATGGTCAAGTCCTCTGTGCTGAGCATTAGAGGGAGGAGAAGCCATTGTTAATATTATACTCTTACTAAGTGCCCTAAGTGTCAACAATTTGAATAATGCTATTAGTGTGCTGATAAACTACTTGTATTGTTTGTGAGACTTTTCAGTGCTAAAGATCAAGAAAGAGTTAACGCAGCTGAACAAGTTTTGTTTGCTCTTTTGGTTACGCTTCGTTTTACCTCTCCACATTCGTTTTAAGCTTCTCTTACCCTTCATAACCCTGCCTGACTTTTCACCCTCTGCTTGTATTGTTCTGTTCTTGGTCTCCACTCTAGTTATACTGTGTTTTGTTCTTTCCATGTCTTTGTTTCTTCACATACTCTTCTTCCCTCTTCTGCAGGTCCTTCTCTGCTGA